AAACATGTGTAGCAACTTATAATGTAATAACTTTATATAATACTCACTGTAATAAAGTAGGACAGCAAATGTTCATCCTGTTCTCACTGACTGTAAATCCTGTGACTTTGAGAAACTGTTTCATAGTAAACAGTCTGGAGAGATCACTGTTACAGAGGCGGACTGTATTTCTAAATAAGTAATGTATCATGAATCTTCACAGTGGTCAGGTCATCTAAGTGTCTTTCATTACTGACTGAAAAAATGATTTCCCTCATTACTGCTCTCCTATTCAGTTAAAAATAAGCTAGACTCTAGATATATACATAGAGTATCTCTTCACAGTTGAAAAGCAGGGGATGCTCTGTAGGTCTGAAGGTATCCAAATGCCCTCTTCTAATGACTACATTCAGCTCTTTAAGACTCATTGCTGCTGTGTTAAATTGAATGCACAGCTACAGTGAGCGAGGCCTTATGACCCAATATCAGTGTCTGAACTCACTAATGTTCATGTGGCTGACTGTATAAACCTCAACAGTAGAGGTCCAAGCATAATTTATCAGCCAGTCTTCTAGAAAAACGGGCTGTTACTGCAGCAAACAGAAACAAACTCACTATTAATGCCATTGATTTTGGAAGGAATTTTGAACCTGCAGGTGTCTGGATGGACATGTAGTCCAGAAACTTAATCACAAAACGTGCCATTGCGGAGAGAGGCTGAGTCCGCTTGCCACCCATATGCATCCTGGCTTTGGATGCATTCTTATGGGCGTTAAGGCCATTAAGGCTCCAGCAACAATTGTGACTTATTATGCAAACTTAGCTGAAGGAGGCTTTATAGTGGGCAAAAGAGATGGAAGTGATCTTGGGACAGTATTCAGGCTGCAGCCAGATTCGTTCTGTGGTGGGGTGGACTGCAGTGACAGCAAGAACGAGGTAGAAGAGGCAGAGGTTGCGGAGCTAGTCCTCTGCTTGGAGATGCTATTGGAAGCAGCACATGGCTTCGTGGGGGAGGAACTCAAGGAGCGGATGACATGCTGATGGCCCCCGAAAACAGCAGAGCTGGCGAGGAAACGCAAGCAAGGCAGGAAGATCGGCTCCCGCCATGGACTTTGGGTCAAATGCAGTATAGATGGGAAACAGCTCACTGCCCTCTTTGACACTGGCTTGTCAGAGTTGCTGCTATATCCAGGCGAGCTCCCTCACACTGAAAGCGGCACACCTGCCAATTGGGAAGCGATGACGTCGTCCAACTCGAGGCAGTCACCAGCAGCTGATTCGAAGAGAGGGAAAAGGTGGGGGGCCAAGGCAGAGAGTCAGAGTTTCCTGACAGTGTGGCCTTTGTTCTCTGCAGGGGAAGCTGTTGACTTAGGATGACCTGAACATGCAGCATCAGAGGCGGTTGGTGGAACCACAAAGGCCATGGGCAGAATATGCAAGCAGTAACTTTGCCAGCATCGTTGATGCAGTGGGTCAAGGGCATTGAGCCAGTGGAGAGATTCTGGGTATTTTAATCCGTTCCGCCAGTTAAGCTGGTCCCCTAAGTGGGTCTGTGAATACATTGGACCCTGCCTTGTAGTGGAAAGGTTGTCAGACGTGGTGAGTCAGGTGCACATGGTGTTGCTTTGGGGAATGCCTTCCTTGGGACCCTCCAGAATAATGCCCCCCAGGATCCAATCTACGCTTCCTAGTCACACAGAGAATCCCTCCAAAATAGATGTGTTGTACGGGTTGATGTTAAATCAGCTATTCCAAAGTATATATACATTTTCACAACAGCTGCTATTTGTGACTGTAGTGATTATTTTCAGACACTTCAAAACAGCCTCACTTCCCTTGTCATTGTTATACAGGATTATTCCATGTTACTGCATAAAGACAGACTGGTATTTACTGATAATCCACATTATGTTCTCCAGTGTGGTTTTCTGAGAAAGAAAAGCCAATAAAGTCATCCACGTGCAGCAGAGAAACACAGAAAGAGGAAATAAAGCTTGCCGCTGCACTCAAACTGTGATAGAATTGTGTTACTTACTATTTCCTGGAAAATTAACCTCATTACTCATTACTTCTGTTACTCTGTACTTAACTACACTGGCAGATACTTTAGTTTGTTTCAAGCGTTATTTCCTCTTTTGCCTAGAGCCCCAGAATCACTAAATCCCTCTCTTACTGATAGTGTGGAACCCATAGATATAATCCAAAGTTCTGACTTTGGGGCTGGAACTGTGTTCTTCAGTGATACTAACTAAATAGCGCAAGAGTATAAACTGATGATCTGCTGAAAACAAATATAGACCCAGTCTGACTGCTGCGTACTTGATATGCTGACTGTCTCTTTCACTTTTCTCTCTCTCTCTCAAACACATACATTACATTTCAAATGTGAAGGTGGTCAGAACATCATGTTACAACATGAGTAAACAGAATTTAATTTCAAAATTAAAACGTTCCTAACTTTATAATTGTAATTCATGCGATTATAAAATAATTCATGAATCACACTGTAATATTTGGTGATATATTTATTTTTCTGCACTCATACAGCAAATTGTCCCAAAAAATCTAGATGGTATTTTGGGTCACACATTGTAACAGTTTACATTGTTTCACATTTACTTCACAAATGTCATCAGTTCAAGGCACTTTAACTCATTTATGTTCTAATCATAATGAAGAAAATTGAACCTGTACAGTTGCTAGCCTGCTAGCTAACCTAGTGCTAGCACCAAGGTGCGAAATACAGGGGGTTTTGGGGGGGTCCCTGAAAATAAACTTATGATATTATGCTGTAATTCTTTGGCTGCTTCACCCACAATCAACAATCTTCTATGTTTGGTATACTTGAGTAACCAGAGATGCACCACTGGTCTGCTTCAGGGTGGCGCTCTAACAAACTGGTTCACCCAGTTGGTCCTTCATAGCCCAGCAACTGTAACTATGTAACGGTATAACTCTAAAAAATTTGCCATAACATGTTTGTAAATCTGAAAACTTGGCCAATTTTCCTAAGAGATTGGTAGAAAGAGTGAATTGTTACTGATTTCTTAAACTGAAGATAGAGACGTGTTAGATCTTAATTAATACGTGGAAGATCGCATTATCAAACTAGAAAACTGCATTTCCAGAAGAATAACTATTAAACCAAACATGTTGTTGCCACTGACTAGTATCAGCACTGCTATGGCGAGTGAGCAGCCAGCCAACACTGGATTAGCCAACATGGGACCCCCTGAATACCAGGGGGTATTTCGCACACTGGCTAGCACCACTCCTCTATCCACACTAACATGGTTCATCATATGCAGCATGTTTCAAAAGTAGTGCTGCCATCAACAGATAAAATTATCATATATGCAAAAAGACAAAGATATTTGACAAATAGTGCAATAAATAGATTCATACAATCATCCTGAAACCTGAAAACTCCATTTTATCTAATATAGTTTTTGTCCTGCATCTCCACCATATTGAGTGTTTAGCTGAATAAATGTGTGGTGTCTGATGAAGTGTGATATCTGTCAGTTAATAATAATGAGAAGCTCCAGTTCTGAGTGTGGAAACAATAACTAAACAATAGTTAAGTTTTAAAACCAAGAGTCCAGTAGAGGTAAGAGAGATTTTGTTAGTGCTTATATATGAAGGCCTCTCTTCAGTGCAAAGTCATGTTAATATCTAAGTAACCCCAGTCTAAGGGCAAAAAGACCTCTGTGCTTTTGGATGACAGGAAGGAGATACTAGCTAAATGTTTTGATTTACTGCATTTCTTGATTCTATCTGAAGAATCCTGCAAAACAAGTTAGCCTTTAATGACAGCCGACAAACGGCTTCAGAATGTCTTCGTTCTCATCTTTGAGAGATGTCTGGTGACAGACTTGGCCTTTTAGATTTTGTGCTATGTAACCATGGTAAATCGTCATGCCCAAACAGTTTGAACCCAAGAAACCCAGGATGGTCATCTGAGTCCAGAGTCAAGAGTCATAAAATAAACCTGCACTCATCATTCAGACAGACAGAGAATGTTTAAAGGAATCATATCCTACATCTTTCTCTTTTTATACATTTTTATCAGAGATTATCTCTTTCCGAGAATTGTTGATGTTATGATGTTAATGGTGTTGGCGTATTATTTGTTGGTGTGTTAATGGTTGGTGTATTATTTGTTCACACAGCTCAAATTAATTCCTTAGAATTAAACAGGCTGTTTTTGTTACTGTGGAATGTAAATGAACTCTCTTCTGATTGGCTGTCCTGTGTTTTGCCTCATTCAAAAAGCAGTTCAAGCTGAAACTCTCCTTATAACTTGAACAGGGCAGTGTGAGTGGGCGGGGCTGAACTGCTGTTGGCTCAATAGATGGATATTTGTATTTTTTTTTTGTTTTTATGACATCTCAGAAAAAGTGAATTCAAAATTAGCTGTTTTGGCAGCTACATTTTCATATAAATGGACTGCATGGACCAATATGTTTTTAAACAAAAGTGCTGTCGCCTCTCAGCAAGAAAGGCCTGGGTTCGTTTCCCCAGCTGGACGACCAGTGTCTTTCAGTGTGGAGGTTGCATGTTCTCCCCATGTCTGCGTGGGTTTTCTCCCAAAGTCCAAAGACATGCAGTCAACTGGACACACTATATTGTACAAGTCTGTGTGCCTGCCGTGCGATGGACTGATGGCCTGTCCAGGGCCCCTGCTTCCCGCCCAATGACCGCTGGAATAGGCTCCAACACCCGCCGTGACACAGAAGGATAACCGGCTTAGACAATGTGTGTGTTATTTTCCATTAAATAGGCCCTTTAAATTAATGCTATAAGGTTCATGGTATTGATTGCTTACTATGATAACTAAATCTCTGCAACCCAAAAGCAGAAGAAAACGTTCAATTCCCTGTTTGTCTGAAATAAAATCAGCTTCAAAATTAACCATAGAGTCAAGCACAGTAGTGTTACCACCAAAACTCCCAAAATGTTACAGGTTTGATAAAGACTGAGTTCACACCAAAGGGAAACATATTTGTGTAAATAAAGTGCACTTTTACTGATCTCTTCATGTGTCTCATCTTCTGAATTCTTTCAGTAATCTCTCTCTGCCTCTGTCCTAAAAGGAGAAACATAAAGACAGCATTATTGTTTCTATCTGAACTGAGGTTTAATGTTAGGTTAACTTTACATAGACAGCAGTATAGAAATAGCTTTCTGTTCAGTTTACACATTACAGTGTAAAGAAAAGACTCACTCAGTCAAATCAGAATGAAGACGGTGGAAGATTATGAGGTGCTGGATGAAGAGTCTCCCTCAGAAGCTGTAAAACATGCAAACACATTTAAACACTTAATCCTGATAAAGTGAGATAAGCACTTCAAATACAAAATCCAGCAGGTTTTAATGCCACCTAAGTACTATAAAGTCTCACTTACATGCTCTTGAGTTTCCTGAAACACGTTTGAATCCTGAAAGACAGATGATGAAATTTTAATTATTATAAGAAGTGTGTATGATATGTGGTGGACGTCATTAAAGACAGTCCCATTAGAGGTCAATAAAAATGTGAGAAAAGCTAGAGCAAAACTGGACCAACACCCTGAGATCCTCAATATCTGATTCAAATATAGTCTAAAAATACGCAGGAATCCATAAAAATCTGCATTTGTTCTTGATATTTGACGAAATCATCAACATTAGATTAAAATCTAGCAAAAATCTCAGTTAAAAAAAGGTCACTGTCACTGGGGCAGTCCCCCTCTTGTCACTGGGTTGGTACCCTCAACGGTACATCTCAGTACCTTTAGTCAGGGAACATAATTGTACCATAATCTAAGTTGTATTGACTCCACACACCCCGTCTCGTCTCCAGGCTTTTTTTTTATTGCTCTGTTTTGAAACATTAAACTATGAAAAGGTACAAAAACACACCTTTCCCCTGAGATAAACTGATTTAAGGTACAGAGTTAAGCTTTAAAACCACTGTTGTACCTTTGAGGGAACATTTACATTGTTTGTACCTTGATGAATGAAAAATGTACCTGCACAGAACCTTTATTTCTAACAGTGTGTGCAATATAATGTAAACATAAGCAATAGGTTTAAGTGTATAATCAACCATCTCAAGTGTTTGCGCTTCTTTTTACAAACTGGATATTTGCCTCCGTCCTCCCTTACCAGACTGTTTCCTCTTCCTGATAAAGACTACCATACAGCCGATAAGGACAAGGAGGAGAACAGCCACGACTCCAGCAACAATGACACCAACTGACCCTCCACCTGAAACACCTGAGAGGTACATCATTTCAGACCTTTATCATCTACGTGAACACAGTGAATTTTAACATAATAGTAGCTTTTATTCCTTGTAGAATCAGATTTCTCCTACCTGACAGGACCCTGCATTCAGACACCTGTAGCTCTAACTCTTTTTCCAGACTGCTGTGCCGAATGATGCAGGTGTAGTGGTGTTTGTTCAGCTCCTCAGGTGAGACAGTCAGAACGCTCCTCTTCTGGAAGGTTCCATCCTGGTTGGGTAGCGTCTCTCTGAGCTCCACGTCCTCAAGCAGATCCTCTCCATTCTTCTGCCAGGAGATGTTCACTGCTTTGGGAAAGAAGCCTGTAGCGTGACACACCACTGGAGAAGAAGAGTCCTTCTGGAACAGAGACACCTCAGGAGAGACTGGAGAGAGAGAGAGAGATTTTAGTACTCGGTTACTCACCTACCCTACAGATGTTGATCAGCAATGCCCTAACTAGAGGGCAGTGGGAAATCTAACTGTACTTACGTTATAACTTTGGGCAGGGACATGCCTGATACCTGATTTGGGTATCAGGAGAGAAGGAGAGTCTTCCCTCATACTACCACCATGTTTAAGGTAGGGTCTGAACTCACAAACAAGTGATCTAAGCAAATTCCACCTTTTAAAGAATCCTCACAACTCTTTAGAACTTCAGCTCAACTTAAGCTGTTCTGTTGATCTCAATGAGATGCAGTACTAAATAAATATTGAGAGAATTTTTGGTTAAAATAACTAAAGGCACCTCAAAAAGTTTAACTACATCATCACTGACTTTTTGGCTTGATCCCCTGCGCCTTTGTCTCAAAATTAGTCCTTTTTGATGAGCTCAATATGTGTAGTATATTTAAGTTACTGAGAAATGTCTCTGGAGGGCAGCACAGTTTGGTTGCATCCCTAATTTTATAAAAAGGCTGTAAAACGGCAGCCTGACTGTAAAGTGTTATAAAGTTGCACTAAGACTGTTTTTATTTATTAGGACATTTATTATTTTAACTAGGTTTTTTTTGGCTCTTGCAACAAGACAAATGAAATATAATGTCACATTTTATTTCTATAAATAAAATTGAATCTGCAAAAATAATACAATATTAGAATAACTGTTTATAATGATATTTTTACATACTAAAAAAAAAAAACACCTCACAATCAACTCCTTCAAGTGTTTCTCCTTTGCGGGCATTGCATTATGGGTATTGCAGTGTATTTATGTTATTATTTTATGTTAGGTAAACATAGAATGGCACGGAGATTAAACTGGCTGTGGAGCTTGTTATGGAAAAAGTCCCTCTAAGTTGCTGTTGTCCAGAGGGAAGGTTGTCAGGGAAGGTAAACAGCAGTAATTTACTGTAATGCCATTCATCTTGCAGCTCACAGTGGTGTCAAGATCAATATAGCTTCAAATTACAAGGGTTTTGTTGCAGTCTGAAGCACAGAAAGCACATTTGGAGTTGTGCAGTGAGTGAAACACTACACAGTATATAGAGTTTAAATTCCAGCTTCTTAGAATCACCGTTATAAATCTAGGTCTCAGCACACATGGAGGACTTTTATAACATCTTTCATGTAGTATCTTGTTGGTTTAGAGCCCGGTGTATGACCAGTGCTTGATGTCTGTGCCTTAAATGTGTTCATGGGGGTTCACAAAATGAAGAAATTAATGAAATAATTAAATATAAACACGTTTATTGGCCAACCTGAAGGAAATAAACAATAACAAATGGTCCAATAACAACTTGTGTAACAATGTATGGTAATTCTGTTTAAGTCCAAGCACAACTTTCAAAGCCATAAAGAAAATACAGCACGCCTTTCCTTCCAGCTTGTCGTGTGACTAGCCAAAAGATTTTTACGCTGATATGAAAACAAGCCGAACAGGCTGTTGACTGCAGTACTTTTTTCCGAGTAGTGCATTCACATGCATTACTGAGCTGACGCGTGACTGTGCCACAGTGTAAACAAAGGTTTATTATTAATGAAGCAGATGTACTTTATTACTACACAATACACGGTTCCTTATGACTGTATTTATACATTTTCTAAGAATTTTTTCGATAAGCCACGAGAGGCTGCGCATTACTGTGATTTTATCATAGGGGGGGCGCAGAGTAGAAGAACGCTCTGTCGTCCATCACTGTATGTCGCGGTCATTTCGTGAACTTTTTAACTTTTTGTCACATAATAATGAACATAACATAGCACTGTTGCAACAACCTTCACTATATAATTACTTTTTGGTCATCAAATTACAACTGCAACTCTTATTGAACACCAAGCTAACAGCGACCCTCCTCACACGCTGGGGCCAAATCTCAAATGGCTTCCTGCTCCCTACATAGTGCACTATGTAGGAATTTAAATACTGGCTCCTGCACCCCAAAATTTGGATAGTACAGCTAACATTTGGGATTCAGCCACATCCATACTCAACAAATACTCACTATTTGGCAGTAGAAGCTAGAAGTTCAAAACTTCCCTAGTGCACTATTTAGGGAGTAAGGAGCCATTTGAGACTCAGCCTGGGTTTGATGCTACTTGGACATTTGAATTGTGTCATTCCAGTGACATTTTTTAAGTCGTTTATATTGCTGTTTTACAGTGAATCTGGTGTGTATGGTTAAAGAGGCCCATTGAAGCTGAGTGCAGACTTTTAATGTGTCCTTTAGGGTCATCAAACAATTCATACATGATATATTTAAGCAGTTTAACTATGATTTTTTAAATAGTTCATGTAGAAATTGTTTGATCAACTTCTACACATAACAGCTTGGCATTTCAAGGTAAAAACACCCAGAGCAGCAAAAACAGTAATATAAATGATGTGGCTTTAACTTAACTAGTTACTTTGAATTGAACTAATATGAAAAAAAAACATTGCTGTTTATGTTTTGGAAGTTCCAGAGCTCAGCTCCAGTTACAGTAACAGAACACATCACATTACCTTTCCTCTCCAGAGTGGATCTTCCATATTCCACAAACTTCTGTAACCAGTAGATACATTCATTCTCCAGGTGGGCCTTTCGGTAGCTGGCATCACATGTCCTCTCCCAATTCTGTTTGGCACTAACAGCTTTCTGGTTAGCCGCAGTCCAGCTGATAGTGTTCAGATCCAGAATGATGACGTCTTCTCCGTCACAACCAAGCTGATCATATAGTCTCTTGGTTCCATCATCATGCAGCTCACAGCCGAACATCCTCTGCAGAGTCTGAACACCTACACACGCACGCACACACACACACACACACACACACACACAGACACACACAGTTTCTGAGTTGTTGTTGTTCCTTTAATCACCAAAAGTAAATCTGTAGTAAAGCTAATATTAAACTGCCACATGTGATTTCAAATGTAATCATGTAAAATGAACCCAAACCAGCATATTTTAAGTATATTTTGACCCTCAGGTGTTACTGTGGAGCTAAAAAGCTCTGAGTGTGTTCAGGCTCACCTTTAGTCTTATTGAAGCGCTGTATTAGAGTATCCACACTGATTTTTAACATGGCCACTGAATCATCAGTGTCAGTCATCCTCATCCACTCTGTCCTGGGGATCATCTTCCTGGTGTCACTGTCATAGTAGACAATCTGCTCTCCATCCAGCAGACCAACAACAGTGAACTCTGGGAATCTGGTTCCTTGTGTGACAGCGGCCGTGTAGACATACTGCAGAGAGTGGGAGGCTGAAAAAGAGGAAACATTAACGTTGATATCAGTGAACAGTTCAGGTTTGTCTACAGTGATCGGGTCACGTTTGGATTTCACGGATCTTCATCACACTTAACACAATTGTAAACAGAACATGCCTTCGTTACCTGCATACACTGTGAACGCTGGTCAGTTTCCTCACAATTTTAGAGGTAACTCAGTTTATAAGTTGTTTGTTGGTGGTTTTGTTGTTTCCTATAACTTCTACATTTTTTCATTTATTGATTTGCCCAAATACAAATGTGTAATGATCACAAACTGAAATGTAAAGTTTTCAGTTTTCAGAATTATATACTCCTACATTTATTTAGCGAAAAACTACTGAATATGAAGCAATTTAAGTTGTTTTGTCACAGGACCACCACAGAGCAGGTACTATTTGGGTGGTGGATCATTCTCGGCACTGCAGTAACACGGACCTGGCGGTGACTTGTTAGTGTGCTGTTGTGCTGGTACGAGTCGATCAGACTCAGCAGTGCTGCTGGAGTTTTTAAACACTGTCCATTCTCTGTCCACTCTATTAGACACTCCTACCTTGTCAGTCCACCTTGTAGATGTAAAGTCAGAGACGATAGCTCATCTGCTGCTGCACAGTTTGTGTTGGTCATCCTCTCGTCCTTCATTAGCGGCTACAGGACGCTGCCCACAGGACGCTGCCCACAGGACGCTGTTGGCTGGATTTTTGATTGGTGGACTGTTCTCAGTCCAGCAGTGACACTGAGGTGTTTAAAAACTCCAGCAGCACTGCTGTGTCTGATCAACTCACACCTAACACACCACCACCATGTGAGGTCTCCAGTCGTTCACTTAGCTTTGGACACTGCCACCTTTCACCAAGTTTATGTTTTGCAGAGAAAATGTTTCTTACAGAATATTTTGGGCAAAATGTTTTTGTTTGTTTGGTTGTTTTCTAGTGTTATTATTATTATTTTTTTTTTTTTTTAGTGCAGTAAAAGCATGTAAATACACACAACTGAAAAATGGAGGATACGTAAGGCTGAACAAAGACCACTCCAAGCCAATGAAAGTGTCTAAGCTCACCCACTCATATCATAATGGGGAAAACAGTAAACAAATTGTTTTTGCTTTTGTTGCAGTTCTAATGGCCAGCAGTATTTAAAGGCTGTTCAAACTCATGTCCTTCCACTTCTTTTGTCTTTGTCACAGGTTTTCATGTCCCAAGCTGTTTTATACTGCCTACCTGTTACAAATAGATTATAGTTTTATATATTTCAGGATAAATGTAACCCAGCTGATTATATAAACTGTAACTGACAAATCCTGTTATTATATAGTGATATACAGCCTATACAGCCAGTACAAGTAACTGCACCTTCACCAGTACTATTGTACTGTTGTACTGTATTTTTTCCATTTTACGCTATATATATATATATATATATATATATAATATATATATATATATATATATATATACATATATATATATATATATATATATATATACATATATATGTGTGTGTGTGTGTGTGTATACAAAGTAGAGTCTGACCTACAGCACCGTCTGCTGGATAAAATGACAATCTCTACTTAATTAAGAGAAAACAAAGTCACTTTCTGTTTTTTCTGTTTTCATCACACAATAAACTACTGATGTTAAATAGTTCAATTATTTAAATTCAGATGAATAAATTAAAGCTGTTTTACAAAACTTCACTTGTTCATCTAAAGATGTTAGATCCACACAATAGGATTTCAGATGTAAATATGAATTATGCAGTAAATAACTAATTATAGTCTAGTACACTAAACTGTTGGTGTAAATTCAGTCAGAACTCGGTCAGATCGAAAGTTTGAAGGACTCTGATAAACAGCTACTCACACAGATCATATTTAATATCAGACTGAGATCAGACTCACCTGCTGATGTCAGATGAATATTTACTGAGAGGAGAAGCAGATATTTCAGTACCAGCGTACAGTGATCCATTTTCAGGTTAGCAGAACCGTAGAACTTTAGAACTTCATCTAAAGATTTTTTCTACGTCCATAACTTTATTCCTTCCTTGTACACTGAGAGCTCAGCAGCAGCTGAGGGAGTGGCTGGGTTGCCAGATGTAAATACTCCACCCTGTACACAGACTACTGAATCAGTTCAAACTGCACTTTCAAACTAAAATGCTATTTAAAAAGTATTCAGACCTCAGATATTTACATGGTTTAGTGTCTGTCCTAAACCATGACCCCTAGATTTACACCCCAGGGAAGGGGGGCTTCTTTCCCCAGGTAGAGGTGGCTTTATTCCCCAGATTGGGAGGCTTCATTCACCAGGTTTAAGGCTTCTTTCCCAAAGTAAGGGGGGCTTCTTTTCCTCAGGTGGGGGCTTCTTTTCCCAGGTGTTTTTCTTCTTTGGAAAATAACCTTCCAAAGTAAAAACATCTGTATTTCACTTACTTTCACTTTCCTCTCATCACAGTCTACACAAACTACTAACACACTAAATCAGCCTGGTCAGTCTAAATCTGGGTCATTAAGCTGAGTGGTCAGCTTTTTAAGCTTTAAATAATAAATATCTGCAGTGTAATATTGGAGGATTTTTGTGTGGAGAGTGATGCAGGTGTACATTATTGCAATACAGAGTTACAGCTGACTATATAAGCTTACTTTACTGTGGTCAGACTCAGGCTGCAGGAGCTGGGACAGAGATATGAGATCCTCCCTTGCAGTTTCACTTTTGAGTTGAATGCCCTCTTTGGCTCTCAGCTTAGTGGCGTCCGATTTCTAGTCTGTTTAAACCCCTCAGGCCCTCCTGCTGAGTCTCCAGAGCAGAAAGCAGAAAGATCTCCAAAAGTCTGAAGACGTCGTCTGATCATTTTGTCCAGATTAAGGAGTTCATTTCACTCATTATGGTTCTTGTCCACAGAGAGAGATGGGACCGTCATGAAGTCCCTGCTGCTCCTCATCTTCACTCTTCATCTCACTTCAGCAGGTCAGTCTAAAGGCTAATGCTGCGCTCCAGCAGTTTGGTTAATAACACTGAACAGCTAAGGGAGTTGTAGTTATTATAAGTGGGGAAACTCTGGGTTCTATGCTGTACATATGACAGATAACAGAATATCTAGATACAGGCTGGGCTTGGAAGTGGGAAAGTCAGAGCGGAGAATTGCGTCACTGAAACATAAACAAGTATTAGAGAAGAAAAGACACATGCGTTTTGCGATATGCATTTATATTGGTTAGTATGCTTCCATCATGGTGCTGCAAAGCCCTCATGCAACCAATGCTATGTAAGAAGAAACCTTACCACCAAAAGCCAAACAGATGTGCACAGGGTTATAAATGGATGATCCAGGCCTGTGTTATACAGATAAAATATTGTAGTGCCCAACTCTAAATGACTATTAGTATCTAATGACTGATAATGAAAAAGATTTCAGCAGTTAAATATTGATACGAACCACTATGACAGGTACTAAACTGTCATTGGGGTGGTCCCTTCAGTACCTTTGGTTAGAGAACATAAATGCACTACATTCCATTGTAATTATGCTAATTGACTGACTCCACACGCCCTGTCCAGACTCCACACATGAGTTTAGCACACACTCTGATAATAAGGCAGTTTAAAAACATGAATAATAAATATAGAATCTAAAACATTCACTCAGAAGTGACCAAAAAGTTTTGAGTTGCTATGATAGCGCAGTTAAAACAAGGCTGTTAATCTCCTGAACTGCTCATCAGCGACACATTTGAACCGTTTCAGCAACCAGGTCCACCCGAATTAGCATTTTGTGCTAACTGCTATGACAGTAATCAGTGATGTTTTTTTCCTTTAACTTGTTTCATTAAAAAGGATAAATGTAAAAAAAATAAATAAATTAATAGATTCCAGCAACAACAATAAATAGCTAAACAATCAGTGATTAAGCTTTTCTTATCCTCACAGAATATTTGGATATTTGATATTTTCAGCCCCAACACAGTTGTGTAAAACACCTATGCACCCTATAACAATACAACAAAATGCTTCAAATGCCTCAGCTTTTAGAGAAAGTGCTGATGTTGACTGCTTTTAAATGATCTAAGAGTTCCTAAATTGAATGTTTTGCAGTGGCTAATGGTTTCACTAGTGTCCTATTTTCACAGCCTCTTCTGGACTGTGAGACATACACAGCGAGTTCATCTTTAGGTCGCATGAGCACGTCCTCATTCCGCAACTGAATGTTCCGCAAGCATATCTTCATGCTAAAAGAGGTTGCCGGTAATTGAAGGATTAACCCTCATAAGCAGAGGAGAGAAATATGCACAGCATGGAGTCTGCTGGACTGGTAATAAGACGCCCTGTGTGAAGGGCATTCTTCATACTTTCTTTTCATGGGAGAGAATCGCACCGAAGTATTTTGAACTGCATCCGTTTGTCCATGCATTGTCCATTTTAGTTCCTCTAGTTTGATCTTACTGTGAGATGTCATGCTACAACTTTTTCATCTCTGATACTGATGTTCAAACCATGACAGTCTCACAGTGTGGGTGAGATTAATTACAGGATTGGATCACATTATTTATTTCTGGTAAATACTCAAATCAATGAAACTTGTTCTGGACAAAGATCCTGCAGATATAGGTAGAACACCAGAAACAGAAACAGATCTGTGGACAGCAAGCAGATTCCAGGTATGACAGGAGATCCAGAGACTATAACTGCCTGTTACAAATTCTTATTATAATATATTAACATCACATAAACCAACAGCCCAACATTCATTTTTGAAACTCTGCACATTAAAGTCATTATTTGAAGCTACTTTTATTTTATGAAAGAATTGAAGGAAACAATTTTTTGTGAACTGCTTCCATCGTTCTGTGCCTTTACCTTTTGATTTAGTGCAGTCTAATTTTTGCTGCACGTTTACCAACAATTCAGTACTTTTTCAAAATATCTGTTACTTTTTTTAAAATATTCAAATAAAGGTGTTTCCAGCACTAGATCCATGGATTGTGAGGTGTTTGTAGTTCGTATCCACAGCATCTCAGTCATCTCATCAGACAGGGGCGAGTTTATAAAAGCTGTGCTTTTTTGAATTCGCCTCGCTTACTTTAGCCAGACAGTTCACTCCAGGCTCAGTGTGTTCCACTAACACAATCCAGGTGGGATCTGTTCCCACTGAGTCAGGCAGTGATTCAGTAAAATTAATTCTTCATTTGAACAGCCCACACAGTCGAGCCCAGATACAACGATTTATCAGCTAAATCAAAACACCAAGAAGAACACCAAAACATTGTTTAAAACATTCACAGATGTTTAGCTTGTTTTAGGCGTGTGAACAATACTTTTTAAACATTTTAAACTTTAGTATAAAAATATAACTATAAACTATAAAGGCTTGGAATTTACACTATAGATAAAAAAAAACTCAATACATTCTGTGTTCTAATACTCTGAAGGAATGTACTGCTGTGTTGAGTGCCGTGTTATATGCTATTATATTCACTATTGTGTGTGTTGTGTGTGCATGTGATGTGATCGTACCTAGAACATTCTGTTCTGCTTACTTTTGTTCATCCCTACATGGTCATATCTGTCATACCTGTCACTTGTCGTGTATAGACTGGGCCTAATCTTGGCATCTGTCCAGCCTATATTATTGTGACCATCCACGGTTTAATGGCTGCCCAAATGTCTTTGTGCTTAATACTAAGTTGGTGTTTTAGGGCCAATGTTAATAAAAATAAAAACAGTAGACTTTTCAAGAAAAAAGTCATATTATTTAGAGAATAAAGTCATAATATTTCGAGAAAAAAGTCATAGTATTTTGAGAATAAAGTCATAATATTTTGAGGAAAAAAAGTGGGCTAACTGTAGGGGGGCTGCCATAATGCATTGGGGTCTCGGTTGCTGTACTGGCGCCCCGGAGTTCCACTCACTCCTGTCTCCTTGTGGATCGATCATTTTGATTATAATTATCATTGTCTGTGAAACTTCATGACCTCTTTGAATGGCACGGAGATGTAGCCACCAATAGCCGTGTAGACGGTCACTGCCTGTGATTCTGCTTCAATAAAACAGACAGACAGTTTCCTTTGAATTCATGTGGTCCTTTCTTCTAAGTAAACACAGTTTCTTGCACAGCCATTTCAGCTGTTTCTTATACTAATAACAGGCTGGTGCTGATGTGCCAGGAGAGACAGTATTTCTTTATGGATGGAATCGATATGAAAGTGTAACTCCACCAACTCCTCAGTGTCCCTCATTTTAACCCGAGGAGGTGCTGCCTTCCCTTTGCAAAACCTTTGGCCACAATATTGTGACCTTTCCTGGTATTAATGCCACTTTAATTTTGTAACTCTATGACTTTTTTTCTCTAAATATTATGACTTTTTTTCTCGAAATAGTACAACTTTTTTCTCGAAGTAGTATGACTTTTTTCTCAAAATATTACGACTTTATTTAAGTCTACTATTTTTATTTTTATTAACAGTGGCCCTAAAATGCCATCCTATAATACTACTAGTACTAGTAAAAAAAAGAAATCTGTTCCCCAGACATAAGGCTGCTCCCTGGTTTGGTGGGTTTGGATTCTTCAACTCTATACTGTCTTGGGTATGATAGTCCCAACTCTCACAACATAAGATATAATTTATGATTAGACTAAATATTTTAAAGCAGATATACTGGATAACTTTTATCCACTGTTCCACTGAAATGGAGTCAGAAGCAGCATGTGTAAAATACACTGGCAGGTGAAGGTTAATTATAAAGAAAATGGTAAATGTAAATCTAGGTACTGTTTTTATACAGAATGTGAATTGATATGTACAGAAACCCAAAGAATATTATTTTACATATTACATCTAACCAAAGGAAGGTTCCTGTTACTGCTTTTGGTGGCTCCTGTAATGGGCATGATTCCAAGAAAAAAAGAAATTCTTCTTTGGTAGGAAATGTCCTTACTCTCCTGATCCTCCTGGATATACGTACTCAGAGACTGTAAAAGCAATAATTAATAATGACCAGGAACAGTATTATAAAGTGAAACACATGGTAACTCATTATTAATAAACTAGGAGTTAATGATGATCAGGAACAGTATTATAAAGTGAAACACATGGTAACTCATTATTAATGAACTAGGAGTTAATGATGATCAGGAACAGTATTATAAAGTGAAACACATGGTAACTCACTATTAACGATGAACTACAGTTTTTGCCCCTCACCTGATTTCTTCTATTTTTGCTATTTGGTCACATTCAAATGTTTTAGAATGTTATAAGATAAAGACAACAAAAGTAGACACAACATGCAGCTTTTAAATGATAATTGTTAAATGAGAATTGTTCATGGATTGTTTGTGAGTTTTTGTTTGTTTGTCTGTTTTGATTTTTACTCCCTTTCAAAATAAATGAATGTTCTGCAAGATAGTAAGTCATTATATTATTATTATTATTATTATATTATTATTATTATTATCCACTCAACCAGACTCTTTCTGGCAGAAATAATTATGACTATAGATGATTGAAGAAAATAATGTACGTTCAAAATATAACTATGGTGTATCAACGAGTAAAGAGACCCATGATGAGAGATAAAACTGAATTTGGGGCCTTTTGTGGAAATTCCTTTTTGTGAAATTATGAATATATTTATTTGTGAATATAAATGAATGCACTCAGACAAGGTGACCATCTTCTTTCCTAAATTTTCATCATAGTCAACATTAGACTCCTCCCCCTGAACAAACTGTAAACTCACTGAGCCCAGATGAATAATGTAATCATACAATCTACAGCACCCAAGCCGCATCACTCTGGTTTAAAGCTTATAGGCCACCGCAAACCAGATACAGTACCAGATACAATACAAAGCACAGCTGTCCTACACAGATTGCATCACAGTGAGAGCACTGATAAACATCTAGTTCAATTTTATTTTTACACTGTAAATTTAATGGTATACAACAATTCATCATTTATGAATGTTTGACAACTGGTATCAGCAGCAAACATTTGACAAATTAAGTTTTTGAGCTAAAAGATACGAGGTGAAAATTACTAGACTGTAACATTAGCTGAGCTGACAGAGGGTTAGCAGTTGTCTGTTTAGCTAAACTATTTCTCTGTGTAAGTTTCAAGCCTTGTGTGATCTACTACAGCTATTTGTAGTCTGGTTCTGGATTTAAGGTAGTAATAATGGCAAAATGCTCAGTGGTATTCAGAGAAATAAAACAGTGTTGGAAGTCACCAAACAAACTTTTGTTAAATATGATTTTTGGGACGCTGCGTAATGATGCACATCTGATGACCTTAATAAGCCAGCACATCTCAAACTTCTAAGAAACTTTAGATACTTTTGATGTTACGACTGCAGCAGCCATAAAGACACATACACCAATAATGGAATTGAATGGAAACCAATAAACCAGTATGACATTATGACAACAAATATGTTTGTTAGTAAAGAGTGTTCATTTTAAGCTGCTTGAGAACATGTGGCACATTAATATTAGACTGCTGTAGCTCCAACAGTCCTCCACAACTGTTAGAGCTACAGCCACATACAACTCATACAACTGACAGAGAAATGTAAAATTGGTCTGCAACTACGTAATGGTAATTCAAATTTTACCAAAATTTCAGAAATTTACTCCAAATTTAATTTTTTATGAAATGTTTGAATGGAAACCTGGCTATAGTTATATGTTGCACGGTGTTACCGTCCGAGACCTTTTCCACAAGACAAACTCTGTTCTCACCTGTATAATAAAATAATAGAACTTTGAAAAATCAATTTTAAAGCACAAAACATGCAAAATTGAGTCAGCTCAAACTCATGTTGTAGCAATATAGCACAAAATAGCACTTTTATTTTTTACTACAGGTTACTGTAGTCTTATCTGATTGTGAGTAGCTCTTATATAGTTACACCACTAGAGGGTGTTCTAAGATCCAATCAAGCATCATAAGTAGTCTGTAGGAGTGTGAATCTTTGACTAGCACCATTGCTTTTCTTATCCATCCATCATCTAAACCGCTTATCCTTCTGGGTCACGGTGGGGTGCTGGAGCCTATCCCAGCTGTCATTGGGCGGAAGGCAGGATACACGCTGGACAGGTCGCCAGTCCATCGCAGGGCAGACAGACAGACAGACATACACATTCACACACTCACTCACACCTAGGGGCAATTTTAGCATGTCCAATCAGCCTGACTGCATGTTTTTGGACTGTGGGAGGAAACCGGAGTACCCGGAGGAAACCCACACAGACACGGGGAGAACAGGCAAACTCCACACAGAAACGACCCTGGTCACCCGGCCGGGAATCAAACCCAGGCCATTCTTGCTGTGGGGCGACAGCGCTACCCACTGCGCCACTGCGCCACAGTGCCGCCCTGCCTTTCTTATGTAAAGTCTATATTTGTTGACTGTTATTATAAATATTTAAAATATTTTGAATCCAACAATATGGATTTAGAGTATAGAAATGAGAACAGTTCCATAAAGACCTCTATAACACTGATCACACAGCTGTGTTTATCATCATTCAGACAAGGTGCTGGAGATGGTTGATAAGTTCTTTTAGAACCTCAGCTGGAGCTGCCTAGAATGGGTTTGAGACCTGAAACAGAGACGAGCAGATAATTATAATTTCCTCCATGTTACATACAGCTTCACTTAACGGAATTATGTGCTTTCAGTTGTATTTAATAAGAAAACTTTCCAGAATGACTATTATTTCCACATTCAGACTTTTACCAAGACACCTCTTCAGCTTCTCAGCTCATAAAGAGAAATGTTCTAAAATACTAACATCCATTTTACTAAATAAATGTTGAGTTCTTGAGAACTATGTGTAAGAAATCTGTGTACTTAGTAGCTCAATGTGTTCGTCTGTCTTCACTTACCAGACTTTATCATCTGCTTCTTCATTGAAATGGAAAGTCCAACACAGCTGACAAGCAGGAGAACCACATCCACACCAACGATGATACCAACTGACCCTCCATCTGAAACACCTGTGTGTTACATCAGTGGACACTTTCTTCAGCTACTTCAGCTTCATTAAAATGATAAAGAAAATAAACATGCACAGCTTTTTCCTTCAGCATTAGACAGTCCCACCTGGCTTAAATGGTATCACCATCTTTTTCTCCAGGCTGCTGTGCTGAATGATGCAGGTGTAGTGGTGTTTGTTCAGCTTTCAAGTTTGTTCAGATTTCAAGTCCCCACTAAGGGAAAACATCTGCACAACATGAAGCTGCCTCCTCCATGCTTCACTCTTGGGTTGGTGTATGCTGAAGAATGGACAATGATAGGTTTGCACCACACATAGTGTTTTGAATTTGACCAAAAAGCTCCATTTTTGTCCCATCTGCCCAAAAAACACGTTCCTAAATTTCAGATGGCTCACTCTCATGCTTTCTGTTAAAGTCCAGATATATTTGATGTGTTTTTTATCTTTAGTAATGCTTTCTTTCCATCCACCTTCACTCTCAGCCACTGAACTTTGTAGCTCCTTCAGAGTGATGTTGGCCTCTCTGTGGCTTCCTTCAAAAGTGCAATTCTTGCTCTGTTGCTGGGCTTTGAGGGACAGCCTTGTTTAGGCAGTGACTGGATGGTATGATGCAGCTTCCATTTCCTCACAATTGATCTAACAGTGCTTGGATATTATGTTGTATCCTTTTCTATCTTGTGCACATCTATAATTTTAGATAAAGAATGATTTACATATTTAAGCCAAGATGATGGCATAGTCAGAAGAATATGAGAAGCTGACCTTTAAGATCTTGAAGGAGCACCTATATGGTGGCGCATGGCCGTGGAATACTTTAAAAAACAATCAAAGCCACCTTATATTGTGTTTTGTACATTTGAACTGGGAACCAATGAGACACTAAGACTGGAGGATAAAGATGATAATCTCTGTTTTATTTTCTTTCAGTCGTAAGAAACTGTTGGTCATTCATATCAGCATTAAGATGTTATAATCATTTCAGTGTGCAGAAGCAGCAGGTTTTGTAACATGACAGAATGACGCAGACGCTCGTGGGTAAAAGTTGAATAAGAGGCTTTACTGATGAAAACACAATCCACAATCAAAGTCAAAAATATGCATAGGTCAGATCCAAAAAGGGCAAGAAACACAAAAACACATACCTCGCAAAGAACCTAGCCTACAAGCCCAGGCTTTATACTAATGTATAAACAACAGGTGGAACTAATCAATACTCATGAGGGTTAGAGTGCTGGTTGGAGCGCGATAGCAAGGTAGGAGTCACGTGATCCCCAGGGGGTTCTGGGAGACGTCCATGGAGACCTCAGAACCAAAGGGAGTCATGACAGGTTTATAGTAATGAAGGCGAGTACACTGACTGAACAGCTATAACGGTCTTGTTATGCTGAAAGTTATCATTTGAAATGATTAATTTTGAAATATAATGCTAAAATAATACTTTTTCTAGTGTTCTGTTACTCTCATAACACTGTATATACACATGATTTCTCCATTTCTGAGGGAGAATCTACAGTAGAAAACAATAGTATACTTAATATTTCACCTAGTTACTCTGAACTGGACTAATACATAATTTAGCCCACTGTTATTTTTTGATAGTATCTATTGCAGAACTCAGCTGCAGTTACACAGATCAGATCACTGTACCTTTCCTCTCGAGAGTGGATCTGCCATATTCCACAAACCTCTGTAACCACTCAGCACAGGTGTTCTCCAGGTAGGCCTTTCGGAAATTGGCTTCACCCCTCCTCTCCCACTTGTGTTTGGTAATAACAGCTTTAGCGTTAGCTGCAGTCCAGGTGAGAGTGTTCACATCCAGACTGATGTAGTCTTCTCCGTCATAACCGTACTGCATGTATGATCTCTTGGTTCCACCATCATGCAACTCACAGCCGTACATCCACTGCCAGGTGTTGACTCCTGCAGAGACACACACACACCAACCCACAAAGGCACCTCACAAACAATAGAAAATACCCAACCATGACAGTACAGAGTGAGTTCAGTTCAGCTCTCTACATTATAAACATGATTCAGTGTTGAACTTATTATAGTAAGTTAACAGAACAGTAATCTGTGTCTTACGATTCACGTGTTACAGTTTTTACAATCACTATGAAACATTATTCAGTGCCAAGTTCACTTTCTCAAAACTCTTCACACCCCTCTTTACAGAGACATGCAGCTCAGCACAGCAGTTCACTTAATACCCGAAATGTTCTACAGCAAATAAACACTGCACATCTCACAATCAACTCATTCCATCACATCAACTCTACTGTTCTTATTAGAGATGCATCGAATATGATCGTGAGGTATGAACGTTAATAGCCTTGGATATATTAGCCTCGGATGCATTAGCCTCGCATGTGATTCCAGCTGTCACTGTGCTACAGAAAGAGACAGATGAGGATCAAAACTATGAAATGTGCTTTACTTACAGCTATACAAAAGCACTTTTCTGACATGGAATAAAACCCGCTCTTCTTCAGTGCTACTTAGTCAAAGGTAATTAATGTAGCCAAGCTTGCTAATGCACTTCATTTAAAATCAGCTAGATGATAATAACTATTAAGGTACATTGGACTCATTCCCTTAAACAGCTACTTTAATTAGGTTACTCTACACTAAGTATGGTATCAGACTTGGTACCAAAAACCAAAAGTTCATTTTAATTGTTTTGAAAGTTTTGAATTGATGTAAAATATTGATTTTCTTCCTCTTAACTAAGATTTTGCTTTGCATTTTAGTGAAAGTATTTATTTAAGTTTAATGAAATCAGTTAAGTCAGCTTGTTATCACATTAAATATTTTTTTAGGCTGAACTGACAATCTCTTTTTTACTGTGAATCAAAAAAAAAAAAAAATTAACCATACATCGGAAAATCGTTACAAAACAGAATGATATAACTTTACTGAATAGGAAAAAATGAAGTAACAGAAAGGAAAATAGGTTAAGCATGTTCTACACACTTACTGTTTAGGTGTTATTGTAGAGCTGGTGTTCAGTGCTATAAGCTCTCAGTGTGTTCATACTCACCTTCAGTCTGGTTGAAGCGCTGCATTAGAACAGCCATATTGACTTTGAAGACCTCCTGATTAGCCTGCAGACCCCGTGTCTGTGTGTTCCAGTAATCTTCACTTCCGATATCCTGCATCCAGTCTGTCTTTGGGATCAACTTCTTGATGTTACTGTCATAGTAATCAATCCGCTCTCCATCCACCAGACCGACAGCAGTGAACTCTGGGAAATGTATTTCTGGTGTAACTGCAGTGTAGAAGTACTGCGGAGAGTGAGAGACTGAAACAGATGAAAAAAATATCTATTGAAATAGATAAACAGTCACTCTTTGAAACTGCAATCTTTAGATTAGATTACTGTTTTTGATTTTATTTCAATTTGGATATTTGCATCAATTAATCCAGCTCAACGATTAGCATGCTAATTTAAAGACCCTCTCCAGTCATTGATGTCACTGAGTCTACAAACTCATCTCTGTTCATTAAAATTACATATTTTGATGTTATTTTCAAGAAGAAAATCCGCTAATGCCTTAAAAGTTGCTTAGATGTAACTCTAAACCTTTGCTTTTATTCAGTATGCGCAGATCTATGAATATGCAAATCAAAGCCAGGCTTAAGGGCTTCCTGCTAGAAAGCATCTTTCTCTACGATCCATATGCACTGGAATTAGCTAATCTTTTATAATGACCCGCTTTCTTCGTTAACAACGAAGAAAGAATTATTATAATGAATATGGCCATCATGTAATTCAGCAAGCTTTGCCCTCTGACAGACTGTTTGAGTAACTTTCTTGTTCAACATCACAAAGCCATATAAAATGTCCTGTCAGCATTTGACATGTAAGACTATACAAATGTAAGGCTAACGCTCTCATTATCTAGCACATTGCAGGTTTATGACGAGGCTGAGGCTTCTTATTCGTCAGGTTCTTGCTTGAATTTTCTCGTTCCACCTTAAATGGGGCAGCAGTTACATTCTGGTGTCGCAGGCCTTCTTGTTCGTATTCTCTCATAACTGCTGCACCTTTTAAGTACCAGTCCACAAAATCACCGCCCCCCCCCCCCATAAGAACTCTTTCATTTGTCTCTAACTGTAACCATCTCACTGTAATGAATGAATGTCTCTCAGAAAAGAGAACAGAACTAGATTTCTGAAACATCAGCATCCTAATCAATAGCAAACTGATAATGATGTGATAAACAGTACATTTAGCAATTCGAACATTTAACAATCATTCTAAGATTCACACACAGTTCTTAGAAGAAGTTTATCAGAATATACGTATCTGTACAGCAACTCTGTTAGACAGACGTAAAGAAACAGACAGACCTGCTGATGTTTGATGAATATGAACTGTGATGATAAACACGCTTTTCATTATCACTGCACAGTGATCCATTATCTCCACTGCAGACAGTCACAGAACTAGTTTCTCTTTCATTAGTTTAGCTCTTTATTATACAGTGAAACTCAGTAGCTAATGAGGAAGTTTGCAGGGTTGCCAGATAACTTGAATCCCTCTACTCAGCAATTGCTAATAAGCATGTTCAGTACTGAGTTCTCTTTTATAAAAATCCTCACATAGTTAGTACAACACGACAGCTCTCTGTTTGAACAGCCTTTTAATTATTTGAATGCAGGTTGTAATCAGTGACAATAATGTCCAAAGTTCTTTAATTCTCTTCTCTCTCAGTCTCAGAGTTTAAGAGAACTGTGTGTTTCTGTATCTCAACCTGCAAACACTCACACTGTTACACAGCTGATACACTGAACTCCAGAATCTAACATGAAAACCAACTGCATATCAATTTACTCTATTACTAAAAATACTGTATCAGATAATCAGCCCAAAAAAAACATAATGTTTATAGAGACAAACTGCTCAATTGAATGTGTGCAAACAGGCCGATCACAGCTGATTCCCATCTGAGCTGAAGTCCAACTCAGGCACTGACCATCTATAAAAAGGGGTCACTTCTAGATTGAGTCTTTTCACAATGGACAGTGCATTATGAGCAGAGCTCATGCTTATTAACAAAGGTATAAATGTGTATAAACAATAGATGATATCAAGTGAGATGTAGAAGAGAACATGTGGACCAATAATGCAGATTAAGTAGAGTCACGTTTACACAATCTGTGATTTTTTCTCTGCTAGATGATGTAAAGTACTGGATTTATTGTTTTTTATTACTTTATTTGTTCCTATACAGTAAACATATACCTTTCTGTTTTTCTGTTTTTCATTCACTGTAGAAAAGTTTGTTAAATCAAACTGAAAAATAGTTCATGCAGTAACAAACACTTAAACAGCTTTTATTCAACCCAAATTCTAAATTCCACTAAGTGCTCTTTATATGTCTTCTCTATAAGTCCTCACTGTATAAATATGAACAAAAGCAAGTTCAAAACTGAGGTTTTTCACCAATTTGGCAACCCAATCAGGGTTTTATAAACACCAGCCTCCATGCAGCCACATTTAGGGAAGCAGTACTACATGTTGGTAGGATCAGGTGACCTCTCCAAGTGGATTTCAGAACGGAAAGTAGCATGTTTAATCACAGCGAAGCTCCTCTGCTTTGGAGTTTGATTGGGCCAATTAAATGAATTAAATCATTATGTTATTTAACCAGGATTCACAAATGATCATGGAGTCTGACAGAGTTATTACATATAATTTAGTTTATTATATCTAGCATGTTTAGTGCACTTTTAAAGTACATACAGTACTTTTTTATTTGATGTAGTTATTAGGTGAAAATGGGAGAATGTCCTCTGTAAGAACAATGTCCATTTACTGTAAAGCAGTCCTTCCCAAACTGTGGGAGCTCTGCCCCTTTATGTTGGTGGTATGGAAATTCTGTTGTTTGATGTTTAGACTTCAGTTAATCTACATTTCATTCTGACTGTTTAACTACACAAATTCCTCCCTGATACAGAAACACAAGCAGCTCTGCCAGCCCTGCGCTCCACTCACCACTCCTGATCATTTTTACTTGTGGCTATTTTTATTTAGTATTTTATTTATTCATATTTGAGTATAAGGCTGTGTTGGTTCCCTCCAGTTCCTTCTTCTGTGCACAGCACACTCTGGAGAAACTTGAGACGTGAATTACAGTCCCATTTCCAAAAAGGTTGTGACGCTGTGCAAAATGTAAATGGGAACAAAATGTAATAATGTGCAAATCATTTAATCTCTATATTTATTTGAAAATAGTACAAAGACAACATATCAAATGTTGAAACAGAGAAATTTTATTGTTTTTTGAAAAATATTTGCCCATTTTCAATTTGATGCCAGCAACATGTTCCAAAAAAGTTGGAAGGGGCAACAAAAGACTAATAAAGTTGTGTAATGCTACAAAAAAATCACCTGAGGGTTAATTGGCAACAGGGCAGTAACATCACTGGGTAGAAAAAGAGCATCCCAGAGGGTCTTTCAGAAGTAAAGATGACGAGGGGTTCACCACTTTGTGAAAGACTGTGTGGACAAATAGTGCAACAATTCAAGAATAACTTTTCTCAGCGTAAAATAGCAAAAACTTGGGGATTTCATCATTTACAGCACATAATATCATTAAAAAAAAATCGGAGAATCCAGAGAACGCCACACATCACTTATTACAAATGATTTCATTCTGTATGGGGCTTATAGCTGTTGTATGTATAATGATTTAAATGTCTGATCGTCCACTGTATCAGCTCCACTTACCATATGGGAGCACTTTGTAGTTCTACAATTACAGACTGTAGATCATCACTTTCTCTGCATACTTTGTTACCCTGTTCTTAAATGGACAGGACCCCTATAGGACCACCACAGAGCAGGTATTATTTGGGTGGTGGATCATTCTCAGCACTGCAGTGACACTGACGTGGTGATGGTGTGTTAGTGTGTGTTGCGCTGATAGTTTCATGTGACATTTTGTTTCCTTTTTGAAAACTAAATAGATGTTATAACCGCAGAAGCTCGTGCAAACCCATTAACACCCATGACTTGAATATGGCATTTGGACTACTTTCAATGATAAACAACAAAAAATAAAGCAAATAAAAATAAAAGTCAAAAGAAACAAATAGCTCGAACAAAGTGATTCACAGCTAAATAGTATGAGGCAGTGTGGTTCTTGGGAAGCACTAGATGGGTGGATATATCTATTAAAAGTTTTCTTATTAAATAAATTGGCGTCAGGGCCCTGACTGCAAATTGAAGGAGCCAGCTTACGTTGGAGTGAACTGACTTGAGGAGGGGTCGTCTCAGTAGAAGACTGGAGCTCACGCATTGGTTCATCTCCTCGCTGGTCGGAGGCTGCGTCGCATGCAGACATGCGCCGTTTCAGTCAGTGACTGGGCAGAGGCATCTTGTGGCTGCTTGAGGGTGGAGTTTGGACAGCCTTTCGATGGTTGATCTGCTCACAGATTAGTGCGTGGCTCTGGGTGTGATGCCGGGTCTCCGTGGCATCAGAACTGCTCTAACTCCGCTGGCAAGGTTTAGATTGCAATCAGAGTTCTGAGGCTGGTGATACTAATTTAACTAACTACCTCTCTTTGGCAGAGTCGAAAATGTGAATAACTTCTCCCTGGCCAGATGAGAATCATTCACCTTCTTCTCTAAGGGTGGTTTAAACTTAAGGTGTACAAATTGACAGACAAGTTACAAAACTAACAAAGGTTTCAGATCTGAAATTTAAGCATTCCAATACTTCTGACCTGTCTTTCTGACCAAGGCCGGCACAAACTTAGAAATTAGCTATCTTCTTGTCGAGAACGCAGAACTCCCTGAAATTGCTGTGCACTCAGGTTGTGTTTGGCTGTAGGCCCTACCCGTTGGAGGCGGAGCCAGAGTGCTGATAGGTTCTCCTCACTTAACGGTTATTTAGCTATTCATTGTTTCCAACTCTGATTGGTGGTGCATCATTTTAGGAGCGCCTTCCCCCACAATCACTGCCTTCTTCTTTTTAGTTCGTTTTAAAACAAAGGAAAAGAAGCATTATTCTAACATAAAATCGGTTTTACTTTCAAAACTAAGGAAAGAACAACTAGGACATTCAGGTGTGCTTCATAAGAGAGAGTTTAACCCTTGTTACCTGATACACAACACATGTTAAAGGACACAGGTTTGCCTTTAATATCTGGATATGGCTGGTTATGAATACATTCAAACAGGGTCGTTACCCAATGTATGAAGAAACAAAAGAAAGATAAAGAAAAGAAAACCACATTCAGGCTACATACTTGTCAATGGTCTAAACTCACTCCAATGAAATGGTTGCCTCACTCTGTTTTCAAAGTTATACACTGCGTATCTCTAGCACTTAATCATAGAAAAAGATACAGATTTTAGGTAATACACATAACAATAAGACTAATGAGACAAGTAGTATTGCTTACAGATTATGTAAATGTTGATAATCAAGCAGACAACGCAACAAGTTTTCTTGGGCTCTTTTCTTCATAAGCAAATGTCCTTATGGTGGCGGTGTGTTGTGTCTCATTCTCACCCCTTGGGGGTGCTGTGGCTCCATATCTAAATTGTCAATCAAATCTAAAAGGGCTAACTTTGTTATAGATTCTCATAACAACCTCATTTTGGGGGTCTCCAGACTTCTTGAAATGAACCCTGTTGAATGGGGGCAATTCGGAGTCAATGCACACTTTAGAAATTTGATTTCCTCTAATTCAAAAGTTTAGTTAACAGTCTTGGTAAAACTCTGCAGCTGGATTCCGGGCATGGATTTATGGCTGCCTGGTGGACGTTTTGGGGCAGAAGGTTGATAACCTCCCATGGTGTCCATGCTTGGTCCCAGGGTAACTTCCTTTTAAACTGTAAAACCTGTTAGACAACTTAATCCTGTTTATGGCTCTTAGCACAGACCTTGTGGAGCCAAAGCTTTTAGTTTGGGTAATGTGGAGAGTTAATTCATATTTTACCAACATTTCAGAAATTTGTTCCATTTTTTTAATGAAATGTTTGAATGGAAACCTGGCTATAGTTATATGTTGCAAGGGGTTACCGTCCGAGATCTTTTCCACAAGACAAACTCTCTTCTCACTTTTATAACAAAATAATAAGACCTTGACATCCCATTCCATAGACATTAATTAGCTTTGTGCTTTGAACAATTTGCTTTGATTTCTTTAAAATGTGACAGTGTGACTATGAAGAAAAACTAAAAATCAATTTTAAAGCACAAAACATATAAAATTGAGTCAGTTCAACCTCATGTTGTAGCAATATAGCACAAAATAGCACTTTTTTGCTGGTTATTGCAGCTTTGACTTTTTCAAAGACTATCTGATCTGAATATTAGTAGATAATATATAGTTACACCACTAGATGGCGTTCTAAGATAAGATTATGTGCTGTTGCATTATGGCTAGCCTCTGTTATGACCCAGTCTAGGGTCAGACTGTAACAGAAAGTGTGGACTCTCTCCTCAGACCTGCTGCCAGACCAAACACTGGAGCTTGTTATGTGTGATGTCAGAGAGAACATGTTCTAGTCAAACACAGTCAGTGTGAGGAGAAGGTAGTCATAAATACAGACCCTCCTGTTCTCCTTCCTTTATCACTTTCTTTATTTACTTTATTTCAGCATATATTGGTTTATAAAAAACAACCACATACATTAAAGTAAGAGTGTGAAGCACTTCATAAAAGCATCATTCTGGCTCAGAAAGACGCGTATATATTAATATTAACACATATTACAGAACAACAGAATAATCTCAGCCAGTACTCTGTATCGTGACTGTATCTCATCTAGTAGCACTATTGCTTTTCTTAAGTAAAGTCTGTATTTGTTGACTGTTATTGGCTGTTATTCAACAAAATGAATATGTTGAATCCAACAATATGGATTCAGAGTATAGAAATGAACTCTATGACACTGATCACACAGCTGTGTTCATCATCATTCAGATGAGGTGCTGGAGACAGTTGATGAGCTTCTTTTAGAACCTTAACTGGAGCTACCTAGAATGGGTTTGAGACCTGAAACAGAGACAGGTGAATAATTATAATTGCCCCTACTTTACATACAGCTCCACATAATGGAATTAAGTGCTATAACCTGTATGTCAAAAAAAAAAATATACAGAATGACCCTTAATTCCACATTCAGACTTTTACCAAGACACCTTTTAGCTTCTCAGCTTATAAAAAGAAACATTCTAAAATAATGATTATAAAACAGATAATTCCAGTCCTAAAATCTGATTGACTGAGCCGCATTCAAAGCTGTTGTAAAATTCACAATATACACACTCCTATGAGCACCTAACAGCATCTGAATTGTGTATAACTGCGCTATGGCACGAAAAATCCTTGTGCTGTTAATGGAATAATCTTTGACTCACTAAGAAATCTTTGTTTCTCACATGGTTCACCGAGTGTACTGATGAATAAGAACCTATTTTTTGGCTGGCAACTTATGTTCTTAACTAGTACTAGGCTGGTCAGCTAGCTAACAGGCTAAAACATAGCAAACAGCCTAAACAACTCCATCATTAATATCACATGCTTGAATTAAAGTACCTACGGTATGATTAACTGTGGCAATATAAAAGTTTAAAAATGTCACTTGAATGTCTTACACACTTCAAATGTCCGTGTTTCAGTCAGAAGTCGCATCAAACCCAGGCTGAATCCCAAACGGCTCTGTACTCCCTAAATAGTGTGGTAGCTGTGAAAGCTTAGAAGCCTCTACAGCCAAATAGTGCATCATTTATCGAGTGTGGATGCGGCTGAATCCCAAATGACTATTTCTTAGCTATATTTTGCTCTGTTGGGCTGCAGCATCCAGTATTTGAATTCCTACGCAGTGCACTATGTACAGAATAGCCATTTGAGATTCAGCCCTAGTGTGAGAAGAGGGTGCTGCTGGATTAGTGCTAAATAAGACTCATGGTATTAATTTGGTGACCAAAAAGTGCTTATAAAGCCATAGTTTTTGTATTAAACAGGGCTGGGTTATACTATGCCTATTATTATATGCCAAAAAGTAAAAAAAATCATTAAATGACTGCAATATACAGCGATGGGCCACTGAACATTCTTCTCCTCATTGAGCAGTCTATGTTTGCTTGGCAATGATACCATACTCTAATGGAACTACATTTCTTGGTGTAATACTTATGTTGATTATTATTAATAATAACTTAAATGATTTTCTGAAAAAAATGTTATATTTTGTCAGATTTTATGGTGGCTGCCATTTTACAAAAGCAATAAGCCACTTGAGGCTATGTGGTACTGCGATTTTAACACCCTTCCCATGATAAAATCGTAGTAGCACATGGCCTCTCACGGCTTATTGCTTTAATAATATCTATTTTACAGAATAAATGTTGTGTTATTGAGAAATCTTTCTCAGTAGCTCAATATCGTCACCTATATATATACATCTATACATCTTCACTTACCAGACTTTATCATCTGCTTCTTCATTAAAATGAAAACTCCAGCACAGCTGACAAGCAGGAGAACAATGACCACACCAACAATGATACCAACTGACCCTCCATCTGAAACACCTGTGTGTTACATCAGTTGACACTTTCTTCAGCTACTTTAGCTTCATTAAAATGATAAAGAAAATAAACAATAAACATGCACAGCTTTTTCCTTCAGCATTAGACAGTCCCACCTGGCTTAAATGATATCACCATCTTCTTCTCCAGGCTGCTGTGCTGAATGATGCAGGTGTAGTTGTGTTTGTTCAGCTCCTCAGGTGAGACAGTCAGAATGCTCCTCTTCTGGAAGGTTCCATCCTGGTTGGGTAGCGTCTCTCTGAGCTCCACGTCTTCATGCAGATCCTCTCCATACTTCTGCCAGGAGATGTTCACTGCTTTGATGTAGAAACCTGTAGCATGACACACCACTGGAGAAGAAGAGTCCTTCTGGAACAGAGACACCTCAGGAGAGACTGGAGAGAGAGAGAGAGAGAGAGAGAGACAGAGAGACAGAGAGAGAGAGAGAAACTAGTACTTGGTAGAACCTCTTTTTGTTGCGATAACAGTAATATAATTATGTTCGGTTAAGTTTCTACAAAGTTCCTCCTGGTCTTTTTGCTCCAGGCTATTCAGGTTGGTTAAATGACGCTTGTGGACTGCAATTTTTAAAGAGTGCCACAGATTCTCAACTGGACTGAGATCTGGACTTTGACTTGCCCACTATAGAACATTCATCTTTTAGCTGTTTAACCACACCTGTGTTGCTCTGCCTTGTGCTTGACATCACTGTCCTGCTGAAAGCTGAAGTTTCTCTCAAGCTTTAGTTGTTTAGGAGACTGAAGCAAGTTTTCTGTATTTTGCTCTATCCGTCTGAACTTCCATTTGAACACGATGCCCAGTTCACGCTGAGGAAAAGCACAATATCACACTACCATCCCCATACTTCACTGTTGGGATGGTGTTTGTTGAAAAATGAACAGGGTTATGTTGGCACCACACATAGCTTTTTTAATTATGGCCAAAAAGCTCAATCACCCTCATCCCACATTTTAGTTTTCGTTCTGTGGCTTTCTGGTAAACTCCAGATGCGCTTTGATGTGTTTTTTCTTTAGTAATGCTTTCTTTCTAGCCATTCTCCCTTAGAGGCCAGTTGTATGCAGAGCTCTTGATATGGTTGGTGCGCCTTCACTCCAGTTTCAGCCACTGAACTCTGTGGCTTCCTTACAGAGTCCACTTCCTGCTCTGTTGCTGGGCTTTGAGGGACGGCCTTGTCTAGGCAGGGCCTGGGTGATATAATGCAGCTTCCATTTGCTCACAATTGATAGAAAAGTGCTTACTGGAATATCTAAATATGTAAAGATTATTTTGTATTCTTTTATACCTTGTTCACATCTGTAATTTCAGAAATGATTTACATTTGAAGTCAGAAATATCTCAATTTAAAATGAGCATTATGTAACACAGCTTGATGCGTTCGGTAGCTTCTTGTGCGTTATTTGGACAGATAACTGTTACTGTCTAAACTAGTTATGAGAACAGCTGTGTCAGTTATTAACCACACAGAATCCAAAGACAAACATTTCTTATAGTTATATATATAGGGTTTCAGGCATGGTCCTTCTCCCAAACCTTCAAATTTCTGCATAATTAAAAGGCTACCATGTAAACAAAGTCATTCAGAGCGGTTTGGTGTGAAACGCTCCATTCTAAAGAAACTTGCTAAGTCTAGGAACCAGACGTCCACCTCTAAAAGCTCCCTCACAGAAAGTTATGACATGACATAGTCATGAATACACTGTCTTATACACTCTGAGACATTGTTTTACAGTAGTTTTGTGATAAAGTTGTGGTCTAAAATGTATTTTAATACATTTATTTGACTCTAGTCATGGTGGGGGATGCATGAAGGGTGTTCTAAGGCAAAACAGTCCCCAAAGAAAACTTATCTTTTCAGACTGACCACTGTTCTACCATTATCAACATTACATAAAAGACATATGTAGGTTCACTGGTGTTTTTTGTAGTAAATAAAACGTCTATATCTGTGTTGTAGTCATGGTGACCCCTGGTTCCTATCAACACCACTGTAAAGAAATCTGAGTCTGTCAATTTCTCTGAAAATGAACCATTTCACATCAAACCACTCTGAATGATTTTGTTTACATCTCATCCACTTAATTATACAGAAATTTTGAAAAATCAGTGGAATTCCCCTTTAAGTTAGTTTCATAGCTCCATATATTGTTATTCTGAATGTTATCATGTGATTTTGAAATGTAATGCTAATACAGTTGCTAAAGCAGTTTTTTTTTTTTTAGTATTTTGTTACTTTCGTAATACAGTATATAAACATATGATTGCTCAGTTTCTGAGAGAAAAAAAACAGTAGTATATGTAACATTTCAACTTTACTTTACAGAGTAAAGTAAAGTTTACATACAGTAACAGATCATTACCTTTCCTCTCCAGAGTGGATCTCCCATAATTCACGTACTTCTCTAACCACTGAACACAGGTGTTCTCCAGGTAGGCCTTATGGAACATGGCATCCTGTGTCTTCTCCCACTTGTATTCGGTAATAACAGCTTTAGCATTAGCTGCTCACACACACACACACACACACACAGACGCAGGTACATCATACACAATCATACACAATACAGAATACCCAACCTTGAAAGCACAGATTGACTTCAATTCAGTTTTATATATATATATATATATATATATATATATGTAAAATAAATATTTTATTGTTTTCATTGTGAAACTCCTAAATATATAACTTGGGTATCATCACTTCAATATCGTTGTATTTCTAAAACAGTATACTTCTAACCAATGAGGTTTCCCCTATATAGCGCTCCACATATAAAAGACAGATGCAAGTACCATGAACATAATAACTTATTAAGCAATTGAAACACGATTATTGTTCATGTGCTGTACACTCTAATCACCTGTTTTGAAAATAAGTTTTGATGTGTGACCATCATGTGACATCCCATTCCAAAACCATGGTCATTAATACGGAGCTGCCCCCTTTGTGGCTTTATAGCCTCAAGGCTTGTGTGTAGCTGCTCAGTCCTGGAAGCCCATTTCTTGAAGCTCCCCGCACCCGGTTCTTGTGCTAATGTTGTTTCCAGAGGCAGTTTGGAACTCCATAGTGAGTGACATTACAAAGAATAGGCCTTTTTTAATCGCTACACCCTTCAGCACTCAGAGGGCCCACTCTGTGAGTTTGCATGGTCTACCGCTGTTGTTGCTCCTAGATGCTTCCATTTCACAATAATAGGGCAGATCTACAGATCAAGCAGGGCAGAAATTTCACAAACTGACTTGTGGCAAAAGTAACTAAAAGGTCAAGATCAAGGTGCTTGTGAGAGGTCAGCCAGGTTTAATTTAAACCCCTGAAGTGACCGGTTTAGCTGAATCTGTGTTTAATTTACTGCAATTGAACTCCTGCTAAGCTAATGACACAGCATTGACCCCCTGTTTTTTAACTATAGTCTGCCTTCGTTTGTTGATAACTGGTTGGTGGATTGGCCTACATGTTTTAACCCCTGCCTTTGGTTATAATTCAAGGTTTGCTACTTGAATTTCCAACAATAAAATTTGCTCACAATTGCATTGTATCTCACTTGACTCAGTACATTTGATCTAAATGCATCCAGTGAAATTACCTTTTAATATCTGGCCTCTTTATTACAGCAGAGTGAATGATTGTGATCAAACTAGCAAGAATTCTGAGATTTTTTATGTATTGATGGTTCAAATATATATAAGAAGTGTTAATAACAAATCTAATGCATTTTTGTTAGTTAATAAGAAGGTGCACTAAGTGTTTTTGGTGATCGGGTCACCTTCAGATTTCACTTTTGCATGAAAAGCCATTTTTGTTATCAGTTTACCAAGAGACTTCATGCAGTCCAGGTTAAAGAAAGTGTCCAGACCAAGCTGGTCCACTCATATCGTAACAGGGAAAAGTAAACAAAAGTAAAACAGAAGCGAGTAATGTGTTTATGTGATTGTAACACAGTAAAAGTGCAATCAGATCTCATCTGGTCACTCTGGAAACACTTTTTATTGTAAACTAAATTCAGCCAAAGTGTATACAGATACGATCCAAACACATGTTAATGCAAGTGTAAACAGGCTCTAAGTTTTATTGACAATTAAATGACAGGCAATATTGTTAACTTAGCTCATTTTAGACAAAAACTGGAAATGCTGCTGAATGAAGATCTGTTCGGGAGCTGAAAGAGCAGCTCTTATTGGTATAAATGTTGATCACTGAAATCAACATTAATGCACTGCGCATGTCAGTCAAAGCAGGTCAAACTGAAGGGTTTAAATGAGGTGTTTGATTTTGTTGTGAAAATCTGAAATTTGCTCACATCTGTGAGCTGTTCTAGTTTTGTGTGTATAGTTTTGAGAAAATCATCTATCATTCCAGAAAATATGTCCCAGCAGTTGATATATATGGTGAATCTTATGTTCTTCTATACTTACTGTTTGGTGTTATTACACTGCTGGTGTTCAGTGTTTAAAGCACTGCGTGTGTTCATACTCACCTCCAGTGTGACTGAAGCGCTACATTAGAATATTCACATTAACTCTGAAGGTCTCCTGATGACGCTGCAGAGTCTGGGTGTATCGGTTCCAGTAATCTGGATCATCAGCATCAATATTCTTCATCCAGTCTGTCTTTGGAATCATCTTCCTGATGTTACTGTCATAGTACACAATCTGCTCTCCATCCACCAGACCCACACCAGTGAACTCTGGGAAGTTTATTCCTGGTGTAACTGCTGTGTAGAAGTACTGCAGAGAGTGGGAGACTGAAACAGATGAAAAATCACCACTGAAATAGATGAACTGACTCTCTTTGAAACTGTAGGCAGTCTATAGATTAGTCTGTACTGTTTTATTGGATTTTATTTCCATTATTGTGGATATTTGCTTGAACTAGCCCTGCTCAATGATTAGTGTGCTATTTTAAGCGAAAAGGCCTTAATTGATAATGCAGCTTGACACTTCAAATTGGCTGTGACTGGATGATATGGAGACCCGCTGGTGATATCCTGCATGTGGCCATGACTTAATTATTTAATTATATGCCTTACTATGTCATGGCCACGCATTATTTTAATTTATATGGGATGTCACCAGCAGGGATCCATAGGATGAGGATTATGCAGCATAAATCTTTTAGATGGAAAAGTATCTAAGACACTTACATGATGAATGCAGCTGATGACGGTCCAGTAAAACTATGCTTACTTAGTCTTGTTTCAAGTATTCTCAAGCACACACACACACTACACACACACACACACACACACAGACACACACATTTTAGTTATTCAGTGTAAGAAAGTCAGACATATAGCATATGCAACAGCATCTCACACTTATTTCAGGTTCTGCAGATGGTTGTTCTGTGGGTCCGGCTGAAGGGGCACTAGCATTCTCCTCCTGAATCCTCCTCACGATGGCTGCAGAAGACCTGTTGCTGACCAATGCTTTGCCCAGCTCCTCAAGAAAGAGCCATCTCCTCTAGAGCTTTCCTGTGTTCCAGTCTGGGAACTCCATCCACATGACAAAAGCATTGCTTGCTGAGACGTCCAAGATGTTGAAAAATATCCCAAGTGACTAGCATAGGGTTCTCTTTTTGCAGCTGTAGCCAGTCACCAGCTTGTTCATGTTGTCCACCCCCCCTTTTGTGGCATTATAATCCGTGATGATTTCTGTTTTTTGATGCTCCTGGCCACACAGTCTCCCATTCCCTATGCAGCGTACTCATGAGTACCACATTTTTTGGCATGTAGGACGCAAAGGATGTGTCAGCTGTGAACATGAACTTGGAAGAGTTGACGGGCCTGTTCTTTGTAGTCAACAGCTAAGGTGGGAGCCAACGTGAAAGTTTTCCAAGGACATTGTGGCAAGGAAAAGTTCTCTGCCAGTTTTATCAGGGATTCTGTGGATTTCCCTTTCGATCTGAAAACTCCTGCAAGGATAAGAAGTCTAAAGTAAGTAAGTAAAGTTTATTTATATAGCGCTTTTTACAACAGGTGTTGTCACAAAGCAGCTTTACAAGGAAATGAGCATTACAAAAAGAAGTCCGGGTCCGAGCCCCCATGAGCAAGCCAGTGGCGACAGTGGCAAGGAAAAACTCCCTAAGAGAAACAGGAAGAAACCTTGAGAGGAACCAGGACTCAGAAGGGGAACCCATCCTCCTCTGGTCGACACCGGATAGTAAACATTGTTAGTATAAAGTATTATAGTACAAAAAAACAGGGTAAAACGTGAAGGAAACAATTAATTTGAATAGTTCAGTTCATGCAGCAGAAGCAGCAGCATCAGTGGGGTCAGGTTGTGAGGGTGAGGTTTGCACGGTGAGCAGTGGCACCCGATCAAGGCAGCAGAGGCAGCAGCATCAGCAGCAGGATGGGCAGCTGTTCAACTCGGCAAAGGAAAGAGAGGAAAAACACAGTCAATGGGTGATTGATTAATTTGAATTAGTTTGAATGATTGATTGGTTCAAGTGAATAATTTTGAATAGTTCATGCAGCAACAGCAGTAGTATCAGTGGGGTCAGGTTGTGAGGGTGAGGTTTGCACGGCGTTGTACAGCAGGAGGCTCAATGTTGGTAACCCGGTCCAGAGGGCTGGCGAGCAGTGGCACCCGATCGAGGCAGAAAAGGCAGCAGCATCAGAACGCACAGGATGGGCAGCTGTTCAACTCGGCGAAGAAAAGAAAGGAAAACACACAGAGAGGAAAACACACAGAGTTAGTTCTGTAATGGGTGACCGATCACAAATTACAGTGTTAGCAGAGACTCTGGCAGGTATAGAACTAACAGGGAAAACTAATTACCAAAGGCTTGAATATACAAGTAGGTTTTTAGCCTAGACTTAAAGACTGAGGCTGTGTCTGAGTCCCGAACATTAACAGGAAGACTATTCCAAAGCTGGGGGGCTTTGTATGAGAAAGCTCTCCCCCCTGACGTAACTTTATTAATTCTGGGTACTAATAGTAAGCCAGCACCTTGTGATCTAAGTAGGCGGGATGGTTCATAGTGAGAGAGAAGTTCACTCAGGTACAGCGGGGCGAGTCCGTTTAGTGCTTTATAAGTCAGCAAGAGAATTTTATAATCAATCCGAAATTTTACTGGCAACCAGTGTAAGGCTGATAAAACTGGGCTGATATGGTCAAACTTTCTGGTTCTAGTAAGAACTCTGGCTGCAGCGTTCTGGACTAGCTGAAGCTTGTTAATGCTTTTGCTGGGACATCCAGCCAGCAGGGCATTACAGTAATCTAGCCTTGAAGTAATAAATGCATGAACTAACTTTTCTGCATCCTGTAGAGATAATGCATTTCTCAATTTAGCAATATTGCGAAGATGCAGGAAGGCTGTTCTAGTAATATTAGTTATATGTGTGTCGAAGGACAGATCAGGGTCTATAATGACACCAAGGTTTTTTACATATGAGCTTGATGCAACTGAGAAATTGTTAAGTTTAAGTGTTAAATTAGACAGTTTGTTTCTAGCTGCTTTTGGACCAAGAAGCAGAACCTCTGTTTTATCTGAGTTTAGAAGGAGAAAGTTACTCGACATCCAGTCCTTTATGTCTTGTATACAGTCTTCAATCTTGCTAAGTTTAATTCTATCATCTGGGTCGCTTGCTAAATATAACTGAGTGTCATCGGCATAGCAGTGGAAGTTTATGCCGTGTCTACTGATAATGGTGCCCAGTGGTAGCATATATAAAGTGAATAATACAGGTCCTAAAACAGAGCCTTGTGGAACACCATATTTTACTTTTGTGAGAACAGATGATTCACCGTTTATATTAACAAACTGATAGCGATCAGTGAGGTAGGACCGGAACCAGGAAAGAGCTGTTCCTGTTACCCCTACAAGGTTTTCTAGTCTGTCTAGTAAGATAGTGTGGTCTATTGTGTCAAATGCCGCACTAAGATCGAGGAGGACTAACAAGGACACATGATCTTGGTCAGAAAATAATAATAGATCATTTACAATTTTTACTAGTGCTGTTTCTGTACTATGATGTGGCCTAAAACCAGATTGGAATTTTTCATGTATTTGATTCCTATGTAAAAAGGAGCTTAACTGTTTTGCTACAACTTTTTCCAAGATCTTAGATATAAAGGGAGATTCGAGATGGGTCTATAATTTGAAAGTTCGCATGGATCGAGGTTCGCTTTCTTAATCAGCAGTCTAATTACTGCTAGTTTAAGAGATTTTGGGATGTACCCAAGGCTAAGAGAAGAGTTTATTATTGACAGAATAGGCTTGGTTATTTCTGGCAGAATTTCCTTGAGTAAACCTGTAGGAATCGGATCTAGCATACAGGTAGATGATTTCGCGGAAGAGACTATTTTAAATAGTTCATTTTCTTGGAGTAAGGTAAACGATTCCAGCCTCTCTGCAGGAATTATAATATTTTCAAGGTTGAGGCTGGCATTATGGGGAAGCAGGTTTCTAGAGTTTAATTGCGTATTCTGAATTTTCTGCCTAATTTTTTCAATTTTATCACTAAAGAAATTCATAAAATCATTGCTGCTATAGGCTGATGGCATCTGGGGTTCACTAACTGTTTTGTTCTCTGTTAGTTTAGAGATTGTGCTGAAAAGTAATCTAGGATTATTCTTATTGTTTTCTATGAGAGAGGAGAGATAAGCTGAGCGTGCTGTAGCAAGTGCTTGTCTATAGTCTGTAAGGCTCTCCTTCCAGGCGGACTGGAACACTTCTAGCTTAGTCAGGCGCCATTTACGCTCAAGTTGTCTGGCGTTCTGTTTTAAAGCCCGAGTGTTGTCATTATACCAGGGGGCGAGTTTTTTCTGCCTTACTATTTTACTTTTTAATGGGGCCACACTATCTAGAGTAGATCGAAAAC